GTGATATGTAGATGCAAACTCTCTCCCTTGACTCGTTGCTTAGATGAGCTCATAGATGGATCTTGGTGAAACCGTAGGAAAAATTTTAATTTTCTGCAACGTTCCCCAACAATTTAAACATCAGGTGCTCCAATCTCCAAGTACAAACCTTCTCTCAGACAAATGGAACTTAGGATTAGCAGTGAAGTAAGTTGCAATGATTCCTCGGAAAAAGAAGTTGCAACGAGGTTGTCACACCGTAAAGCACTAGAACTTGCTGTTGAGGTTGCGGTATACTCAATTCTCCGAAGAAAGATTGGAGCCACGTCGTACAATTAGCAACAGCCTTGTATTTCTCTTTGTTTGCTTGAGACCTTGAGTGAGAAATTGAAGAAAACAAGGACGGCCGGATGGACTTCCAGGAGTTCCTCAACTTCATGGAGAGGAGCAGCTCGTGAAGTGGCGGCCGGCGTCCGATGACCGATGATTTGCTCAACTCGTTTGTTCGTTCGTTTTGCTTGCTTGTCCTTTTTCCGGCCCGAATGGAGCCGAGTGGTGCACCGTGCACACAATCTCGTGTGTATTCAATCCAATTCTTTATAGTACGATATATGCTTTTTAGCACTATATGATGAGATGGAGCAAATATGTAGAATCTTTACACTAAATCATTTTCCTTTGACGGGTTCTATCTTTAGCCATGGTTCTATTGTTGTAATCCAACTTTTGCCTTGCATCAAATTTTAATGACATGGAGGCCGAGGCACTCCGTAGGAAATTTTTTAATTTTCTGCAACGTTCCCCAACAGTGGCATCATGAGCTAGGTCTATGCGTAGTTCTCTTTGCACGAGTAGAACACAATTTTGTTGTGGGCGTGGATTTTGTCATCTTACTTGCCTCTACTAGTCTTTTCTTGCTCAACGGTATTGTGGGATGAAGCGGCCCGGACCAACCTTACACGTACGCTTACGTGAGACCGGTTCCACCGACTGACATGCACTAGTTGCATAAGGTGGCTGGCGGGTGTCTGTCTCTCCCACTTTAGTTGGAGCGGAATCGATGAACAGGGCCCTTATGAAGGGTAAATAGAAGTTGACAAAATCACGTTGTGGTGATTCGTAGTTAAGAAAACGTTCTTGCTAGAACCCAATTGCAGCCACGTAAAAGATGCAACAACAATTAGAGGACGTCTAACTTGTTTTTGCAGCGATTGATCATGTGATGTGATATGGCCAGAAGTTGTGATGAATGATGAATTGTGATGTATGAGATCATGTTCTTTGTAATAGGATTCACGACTTGCATGTCGATGAGTATGACAACCGGCAGGAGCCATAGGAGTTGTCTTTATTTTTTGTATGACCTGCGTGTCATTGAATAACGCCATGTAAACTACTTTACTTTATTGCTAAACGTTAGTCATAGAAGTAGAAGTAGTCGTTGGCGTGTGCGGATGCCGATAGCGAAGGATCTTCACTTCTTGGTCGGTGGTCATAGGCGTGAGTGGGCGCGCATGAAGCCGATGTCGGCAGGCAACCAAGGAGTAGATGCGAAGGTGGTTCCCATCTTTGTCAATTTCCTTGTGGCCGGTCTAGTGCCTCATTACTCTGACTTCTTCTTTGCGGTGCTGGAGCACCGTGGGCTTCATATGCTGCATCTCCATCCAAACGTGGTGTCGGTCTTTGCCATCTTCGCCCATTTTTGTGAGGGCTTTGTCGGAGTGCGACCGTCGCTGGAGCTTTTCCGGCATTTCTACTCCTCCCGCCTGAACTTCCTTAACAGACAGATCTCTGGATGTGTGACCTTCCGCCTCGTAGTGAAGAAGGCGGATATGAGTTATATCCCGGTGAATTTGTACTCTCATGTGAGAGAGTGGCACCGGAACTGGCTGCCGGTCAAGCCCTTTGCTACGTGAACCAGAGTCTCCTCCGCCCGTGATTAAGTGCCCTGGACGGACAAGTTGTGTTGGCAAGGCCTTCGACCCAGTTCACCAATGCGTTAAGTTGTTTGCGGTGTGGGGTTTGGATGGTCGTATGGTGGCGAGCAGTTTCGCTCGCCATTGGATTTCCTCTCTCCAGTTCCGGAAGGAGCCGACCTGGATGCTCGCGGGGAAGGAGGACGGCCAACGCTTACACTGAGATGCCTTCCCGGGTGAGAATCTATCATGGGTGGGTTCAATTTCGACGGGGCCTCGGGCCTGCCACCTTCGGTTGGGATGCTTCATAACAGCTAGACCCATGATGTCATCCTAAAGAGGATGCCGATGTGCGACAGGTGGGGTCTTGTTCTCGTGGGTTCGGTGGACCCCGAGAGGTCGAATCCCTTCTCACCGCAAGCGGCCTTGATCGGGCCCAACTCTAAGGGGGTAGCAGAGGAGAAGGAGGACGGAAATGACTTCGAGGGCTCTTTCAGCACCCCAGACAGGGGGGGCGCACCTCCACCACCCAGCCGGAAACGTGCCTTATCTCCCGCAGCCCCCGGCTCTACTACCCGAGCCCAAGGATGACACTGCGCTGCCAGCACCAGGTAAATGTTGAGTTTGCTTTTTGGTTATTGGGACACTCTTGCTCACTGTTGGTCTTTGTCTTTAGTTCTTTGACCGGGGACGATGACGTGCCGAAGGTGATTCCTCCTTCAGCCACCAACGCATCCTCGGGGGATGTTGTGGAGGTTCCGGCAGCCCCCGATCCTGGAAAGGCTCGTGTTTTACGGGACCATGCCAGTGGTCCTGTTGGAGGGTCGGACCCGAGCTTTTCCTTCCGTCATGACCGGCTCAAGAGGATGGACCGCCAAGGACAAGTATGTAGATTATTATTTACGGGTGTAGGCTTTGTATCCCTCAAGTTGTTTTTAACTGTTGCTTCGCCATGCGTGTAGCCCATCTCGCCCCTGTCGCCCGCCGAAGAAGGTGGAGCGGGTGCTGACGAAAAGGACGACCGGTGAGGATGATTTGGCCTCGTCACTAGGCGCGGAGGTGGCGAGCTACCTTGCCGCGGGAGGATTGCAGTCGGAGGTGGGGAACGCGGATGTCTCCTCGCGTGCTTCCCCATCATCCATCCCAGATCCAAACATCGTCGTGGTAGCAGGGGCCGAGGCCGGTGACCCAAAGGCGGGCCGTAGGGCCGAGGACGCGGAGTCTTCCAGGGAGGCTGCCGAGACGCCTGGAGTGGGGCAGATCCCTTTACAGCAGAGAACCCCGTGCAAGAAGATGGCTCTGAGGCGGCGACGGCCCCCGATGGCTCTGTTGGAGAGGACGATGGTGCCGCTTGAGCCAAGGACAAGAGTTCCTCCAAGATCACCTTGACACGAAAGGCCCCCGTTATTAGGTCTATGGGGGGCTCCTGGACCCCGTCGGGTGATGATGCCCCGGGGAGTGCCGCCGTCCCGAACACCCAGGCCCTGGAGGCCCCCGTTATTGGTCTAGGGGGTGGCTCCATCCGGCAATCCCTCAGGCAGCGGCACCCCTACTCTTTCAGCACTAGCAGGAGGTCACCCGGCAACCTGGGACTTGAACAATGAGTGGGTTGGTTCGACCACAAAGAACCTAACCATCTGAGTTATACTCAGTTCGCGAAATGGTCAGATTTTTTACAAGCTGCTTAACCGGCGCTTTACAAAATGAATATTTAGCAATAGGTGGACATAAAATTTACTGAGCAAGAGAGCAATGATTGGATTTCAAGAACAATCTCTTTTGTTGTGAAATAAGAGATTATTGCCGCGCCACAAAATAAAACAATACAAAAACATATAGCAAAGGAGGAACATACTTGAGACAGTAAAGGAGAAATGCCTCATATGATACTCTTTGCACATAATCAGAATGGAAGCCAGAAGGCAAAATGCATGAGCAGCGATGAAACAATAATGGCCCTGTTTGGATACTCTAACCAAGGTTAGAGTTAGAGTTAGTTTCTAACTCTAGACTAACCCTGAACTAACTCTAACCAAGATGGTTGTTTGGATCACAGGGTTAGATTGACAATAAATGCATTTTTTTCTCACTTTCTAGCCGGATTTGGTGTGGCCTTGAATCATAAAAGTTTGACGAACAACAAATACTCACTTCACATCGCTCTTGAAGAAGCCTAGGCGCAATCAATGAAGACTCCACGAATAAGTGAAGCCTAGCCGCAACGAGGGGCGCCGGTCGAGTGGCTTAACGGCGACTGGGGCGCAAGAGACGACGCCGTGGCTCGAGTGGCTGAACGGGGAGGGATGCCGCCGCGCCGGAAGGAGCAGGATGGGGGCGGGGGAAGCGGTTGCGGGAAGGGGGCGACGGGCGGGCGTGGCGGGGAGCTGCGGGACGGGGCGGCGGGGGCTGCGGGAGCGGCGGTGGGATTAGGGCGACGGGGCGGGGCGATTGGGGCGGCTGGCTGGTGCGGGAGGATGAGGTACGAGTGCAGGAGAGGGTATTTTTTTAATGGGACTAACCACATCTAACTCCAATTAGCACCTCCCCACCGGGTTGGATTTTTTTGCCAGGTTAGAGCAACTAACTGCTATCTAACTCACCTGTTTGGATCCTCTAAGGTTAGTTTAGCCTGAACTAACCAACTCTAACTCTAACTACAGCATCCAAACAGGGCCAATGACAAGAATGAGCATTACTTGGTGCTGGTCTACTTGATGTTATTCAGTTACATTCTGCCATGATTCATCAAGGCACAGTAGGGAGTATCCCGACCTTTCTCTATGATAAGACAGAACTATAACAAACAAATCGGGATTCAGACTCAACAGCGAGTACACTGAATGAACCTGAACACCTGACAAGCAAATGGGCGTCAATCACCTTGCATGAGCAGATCCTAACTGGCATAACACTACACAGAAAAGCTCAACATATAACCCCGCCAGTAATTTTTCAGTTCATATATAAGCTCACTTCATCGCGAAGTGAGAACAGATTTTAGTTACATCATCAGCGTTGATGCATGATTACATTGAAAGCATTAGGAATAAGAATATTGTTAAATAATATTCTCATTTCCAAAGAGCAGTCTAAATTACGGTGGAGTTATTCCTTCTTCAGTTCGACACTCCTTTTCCCTTTCCTGATTGAATCTTGCACGCGCGAAATCCTCACTTCAGAATCCTGAGCTCTTATTTTCTTCCACAACTCTTCATAAGACTTGGGTATAGTGTAATACTCATGAAACATTAGTCCAGTTGCCCTACAGGAGGAGAAATGCAAATTATTAGATCATTAATTAGAGTTATCACGCTGAATGCATGTTGTTGCTAGAGAGAAGGTAGTAGTAGTAGAAGTTAATTAAGAAGTTGTACCATTCACGATGATTGCAGTAGGTGAGAAGATGATCAGCGATGGTGAAGGGCCGGACGGACGGGTGAATCTTCTCCTTCACGTCGTGGACCTGACACAACGTCGTTGGCCACTCAAATGACTGGCTGCTCAGGGAATGCATGACGACCGGATCCGGGAGTGGCACAGTGAGGTAAATTGAGTTGCTGCTGATGGAAGGAAGGTTCTTCGCCTTCACGGACAGGCACCTGTCCATGGATACAAACAATGCCCGGTCGCCAAGACTGCTTACTGGAATCAGTTCCCAGTGGCCAAGGCTTACATCAACCTTGAAGATCACAATGACATAACGTCGCCACTCCTCCACATCACGACCCACCAAGTTCATAGACTTGACAACAAGTAGCATGTGGCCATCGGACTCCACAAGGTAGTAGCTGCAGAAAAATGGGTTGCCAAACTTAATTGGAACATGAGCAACGACAGGGCCAGGGCCGAGTGGTTTTGGAGGGTAGACTTGCACAATCTGCCTTGAAGTCTGCAGGAAACCGTAAAGCTGGCCTTGGAAGGGCAAGGTATTGGAAAGATACATGTCCTTGTGAATGACCTCCCAGCTTGAGTGGCCCGCATCAGCACTGAGCACCACAGGTGACCAAGGGAACCAGGCCACAACGACAATGGAAGTGGTGGATGACACACTGCTACAAACGGCAGCGTTCATGCGGAGCACGCAGTTGCGGTTCCTGGTCAGCTTCTGGTAGACGGGGACGAGGGATGGGAAGTCGACCACGACCCGCGTGAAGGGGTGGAGCACGCGGATCGTGGTGTTCTGCTTGTGCAGCAGGATGACAAGCCCATCAGTGAAGCCAACGATCCTGTGGCGCTGGAGCTCGGGCAGGCGGACGCGGAGGCACCTGGCCGTTCGGTTCTGGAAGAAGGTTATCTGGCAGGCGTCATCCGGGCGGACGGCGTCGCCGTCGCAGAGCGCGACCCAGTGGACCGGGCGGAGAGATCGTATCCGCAGGGTGGGGTCTCGCGGGCTGGGCGCGCAGGCGCGCCACCCCGAGCAGACCACGCGGAAGGCAATGTAGTCCACCACGTCGAATTCCAGCACCAGCGCGGCGAGTTGGTGGACTATGTCGTCCGGGAGGGATGCCCAGCCGGTCACCTGCGCCGGAGCGGGGGAAATCCGGCATTTGCAGGGGGGAGAAGGGGAAACGATGGGCCTTTACGCTTCCGGCCGGCCGGAGCAAAAGAAGGCGCCTTTCTCCCCATCCCGCACCTCTGGCTTGTTCGGATGCGTTGCTCTCGGCGGCCCCTCACTCATCGACCGGGGCTAAATAGGCCTCCTCCGGCTCCGATCAGTCTGCAACTCGGCCTCCTCAGATCAGTCTGCGATCCCAAATCGGAGGAATTAATGGATCGAAGGGGGATCTGAGCGGAATCGGGTGGAGAAATAAGAACCTAGCGTGGACGTGGCCGCGGCTGCTGCCGCCGCCGGAGTAGGGTGGAAGGACGCCGCTCCCAATCCTGAGCTCCCCACACTTTTTCTTTTCATTTCGCGATATCTTTCAGGTACTCACTCCGGTTCTTTTTGTTTGCATATAAGATTTATCCAAAGTTAAAATATCTTTACTTTGAGCAAACTTATAGAAAAAAGTATCAACATTCACAATACCAAATCAATATTGTTAGATTCATTATGAAATGTAATTTCATAGTATATATAATCGATATTGTGGATGTTTATATTTTTTAAGTTAAATTTGGTCAAACTTGCTGCTGATGTTCGTCTTTCCTCCTAAATTGCTCCGCAGGAAACTTTGGATCTCGGGTCTTCCGGATCGGACGATGGTGGCGCTCAACATCACACTCCCACTTGGGGCTTCGTCTTTGAGCTTGCCTTGGTTAGGGTGACCAGTGGTTCCATTGGTGGTCCGTGTGGGCGATGGCAGCGGAGTGGTGGTGCTCTGTCTTCGTGATCTTGGCTCAGCCATGCCTTTGGCTGCGTTGATGAGTTTGGGATGGCGGTCGGGTGGTGGTAGTGCGGCCTGCTTGGGGTCGACGGTGGTTTGAGCTCTTCTTCGGTGGTGTTCTTCTCGTGTTCTTGCTCCTGCACTCCTGGGTGTGTTCTCTGCTAGGTGATGCCAAGCGACTGCGGCGGTGGCACACATGTGTCGTGACGCTGTCTCGGCCTTGTGTGACCTTTCGAATGCGCCCCACGACACATGTGGTACCGTGGCGTTGTGCAGTCTCGGATGCGCGGAGCCTTTCGATTGCGTCGACGGTGCAATGTCATGGTCTTGTTTGCTTGGCGATGCTGACTTCGCCTGTGGCACACAGGCGCCGTGGCGTCATCTCGGCCTACCGTGACCTTTCGAATGCACCCCCGGCACAGGTGGTGTCGTGGTGTTGTGCACTCTCGGATGCGTGATGCCTTTCGATTGCGTCGATGGTGCAATGTCTTGGCTTGGTTCGGCTGGCCAATGCTGTTTGATCACATTGGTGGTGCTTTGTGTTGTGCTGGGGTGTGTCTTCCCTCTTAGTTCTCCCATGTTTGTATGTTGGGCGTATGTTTTTTTGATAGAAAGACTGTAAGGGAACCCCCTACAGTATAATTGGTACAACAAAGCCAAATTGCAAGTACCATGCCTTGAACCTGGGTGGGTGGGAAGGCATCAGCCCATTCCCACCACTAGGCTATGCCTTAGTCTGCATGTTGGGCGTATGTTGTTTTTGCTTTATCTCTTGTTTTGTGTCCCCTTGTAATTCTGGTTCATTTCAACCCATCTTGCAAAAGGTTGCAAAGCCTTATAGGCAAATGAATATAATTCAGGTGGGGGAGTTCCCCCCCGCCCCCCCCCGGTGAAAATTCAAAAAAAAACTTGGTTGAGTTTGACTTGACAAAAATCTAATACGCGAAGTAAAAAGGACCGGAGCGAGTACAGTACAAATCCGGATGCATAAGCGGGTCTCGCCGCACTCTCGGGCCCACATGCAAGCAAGATACCGTCACAGTATATCTGTATGTATACCTGTACCTACTTGTTGTTCTTTTACAGCGGAGGGTCTTTCGTGCATCATTACTCCTGTATAAAGGATGGTGGAGTATCAGTCTCCCTGAGCTCTTTGCGGGCGAAGGGCGTCTCCCAGCCGTCTGTCCCGTGGTGGGTTGCCACGAGGGCAACTCAGGGGCTACACGAGCCGTTTCATCTATCCGAACAGTAACGGAGTCGAATCCACTCAGGTTTAGGCCTCTTGAAGAAGTAAAACCTTACAATGCTTTGTTTATATTGATTGTGGACGGGGTACATAATACAAGTTGATCTAGCTTGAGATTGAGTATGAATGAGTTGGCATCTACGATCTACAACACTGATTTTATATATATACCAACGTACTTAGGGTTACACATAGGTCTATCTAAAGATAAATGTGTTGAAGATTACGTTTGTGCCTTGGAGTATGCGCCAAGTCTTCGGGAGATTCCATCTTGATTCCTCAGGGGCCTGACGAATCTGACCCATTGGTTGGTCATTTGAGGGGCCTCGGCCCGGCCCACGTCGATAGGTTGACGTGGTCAGCATTCCCTTATCCAGGACACGATCAGTAGCCCCCGAACCAGTCTTCAACCCAAGGATTGTCATTCATCTTTGGTCTTCGGACTTGCAAACTGGTTCAATAAATTCTTCGCGTGTCTACCCCCAAAACGATCAGAGTTTTGCTCGAGGAGTATCACACCTTGGTTACCTGAGGAACCCCAATTGAGCTTCCCAAAAGGCGTTTTTCTTTTGTCAGATTCGAAGACCCCCTTTTAGAGCAGGACTACCTTAACAACGAAGTCTGTCGGTGCAGGGGTGATGATGTTGGTTTGGTCGTGTTCTGACAACTTTGACCAAACCCGAATCGCCACCATGTACTTTTAGAACCGAACAGTCCTTTCAGATGTCATTATGGTGGCGAACCAACCTTTGGTTGGATGGTTAGAGGGACATTGGTATCCCCAGCCCACCAGGGTTCAAGTCCTGTTGCTCGCATTATTCCTGAATTTATTTCAGAATTTCCGGCGATGCGCTTTCAGTGGGAGGAGACGTTCCCATCGACGACGAGGCGCCTACGGTGACTTCGAAAATTTCAAGATGACAAGTAGGCTCAGTCTCTCGGAGGTGCTCATAGGGGTAGGGTGTGCATGTGTGCGTTTATAGGGGTGAGTGTATGCGCGTATGTATGAGTGCTTGCGTATGTACTGATGTTAAAAAAAACAAACCATGTCAGGGATATACCCCACGATATGACCCGGCCGGAGATATGACCCAGCTGGGACTTGGTATTTCATTGGTTAAGTCGGCATATGTTTAAGACAGATGTTTAAGATGGTTAAGTCGGCAGATGTTTAAGCCAGATGTTTAAGATGGTTAAGTCGGCAGATGTTTAAGCCAGATGTTTAAGATGGTTAAGTCGGCAGGTGTTTAATGTAACACCCCGTATGTAACCTGCCACATTTGTATTCCAACTCTTGCCGTTTCCGGCACTAAGTTATGTTATTTCTTTGTTGTCGAGTTTTTGCCTTCGTGTTGTTTTGTCTTTGTCATGCATCCCATATCATGTCATCATGTGCATTGCATTTGCATACGTGTTCGTCTCATGCATCCAAGCATTTTCCCCGTTGTCCGTTTTGCATTCCGGCGCTCCTATGTCCTCCGGTGTCCCTTTCTACCTCTTTTCGTGTGCGGGTGTTAAACGTTTTCGGATTGGACCGAGACTTGTCACGCGGACTTGATTTACCACCGGTAGACCGCCTGTCAAGTTTCGTGCCATTTGGACTTCGTTTGATACTCCAACGGTTAACCGAGGGACCGAAAATGCCTCGTGTGTGTTGCAGCCCAACACCATTCCAAAGTGGCCCAAAACCCACCTAAACCTCCTCCATCACCTAGGCCGTTTGATCACGATCATGTGGCCGCAAATCGCACCTCATTTGGAGCTTCCTAGCTCCCTCTACCTCTATAAATAGAACCCCCACTCCAAATCCCGGATCTCCTCTCTCCCTAACCCTAAAAATCAGCTCCGCCGCCACCGGACGCGTCCGCCCGCCGCCACCGACCAATAGGACGCCGCCACATGTTCCCCGTGGTGCCCACTTCGCCGCACCCACCGCCGGCCCAGGTCAGCCCAGGCGGGGCCCTCCAAGCCCATTGATCGGGCTGCGTCCCTGCACCGAGCCGCCTTCTCCTTCCCTGACGCAGTCGCCTACTCTGCCCCGCCACCTCACCGGTGCTTCGCCGGCCACCGCGTCCGCCATTGACGGCCAGCCGCGCCCCTTGTCGTCCGACGTCCCGCGCCGCCAAACCGCGCCGGCGACCGCGGACGAGCGCGCCTCCTCACCGCTCCCAACTCCGGCGGCCTCAAGTCCCCGCTCCTCCGGCCGGATCCGCGAAGTCCAGTGAGCTCCGCAGCGTCTCCGGCCACTGCGACCTCCATTTACGGTGACCCCGTCCTCGAGCTGCTACAGTACCCGCCGGACCGATCCAGATCTGGAGTGTTGGATCCGGTTGACTTTTTCTCCGAAACCCTAATATTTTTTGCATTCTTCCACATGTCATAACTTTATCACTGTGGCTCCGATTTATGTGTGTAGCATATCGAAATGTTCGTCTCGACGAGTACTACATTTCATCTCATTGCATCATTTTCATTTGAGCTCATCTTGATGCCCGAAAT